TGGTGAGATCGACCAACGAATCTCTTCTTCATGCACTTTCATACGAAATGAAGGTCCCTCTAACAATTATCTCAGGAGATTCATCGAAACCCAGTTTTTCTTCGTATCAAAACTATTACACACGGTTTAGTACCCTCGTGCGCATGCATTCAAGCATTAGTTGACATATCTTAGGTAGGAAGACCAAAACGATGTGGCCTTGTGCTTGGTCGCAGTCTCCTTTAGTTGTGGAGTGTTTGTTCTACCTTGTTATCGGAATTTGGTCGGATCGATAGGGAAACCTTGTGTAATTACTTGTCCTTCGTCCTCTGACCTAGTATTCATGATAATTTCCACCAGCGGATCGTTGACTTGGTACATTTTCATGCGTCAGGCGCTTTCCATGGCACAGTTACAACTTATAAATTCGCATATATATATATATATATATATGAAAATTCAATAATCGATCATTCTATACTCTCAGAAATTCATTTTGTTGGAGTATGCACAAATATTGGAAATGAACCAATTTGTATTGCTTACATTAGTTGTAAAATGAGACAGCTCCGAGTATATCTGTCATGGGATGCAAAAGCTCAGCACGATTTCTCAGGAACCGAAGCAGAGTATCTAAGAGACCAGGCTTGCCAATATAATCAAATTAAAGCGGTCCAAAAAGAATATTACTCTTATTCTGTTTAAACAGCAATCCCTTCATTCCACACTTTCACACTGATTGAAAATTAACTCATCGTATGCCGTTTTGTCACGAGGTCTATCGAAAACCGCTTACTATATTTTAAATTGATATTGTTTTTATTCTTCACTAATTACTTATTAGTGGATTTGGCTTTTGCCCTCCGTTAAAATAAGGTCCAATTTATTTTTGGTGGCTTTGGTTTGACGATGTACACATCTGATTAACCTGTTAGTGGATATGTTTTGAAGAGTTGTTATGCAATTATATTGCTTGAAGCACTGCTTATGAATTATACTTCTTTTTTTATCATCAAATGTTCATTAGGCTATATTTTAATATTGTGTTAGAGCTCAGCAGTGTATTTGAAGGGCCGAAATGTCCAAGAAAATCAGTTTGTTAAAATGGGAGCTTACCATACACTACAAGTTTCTATAAACGACAAATTCACGATTTCCAAAGCCGAATGGGATAGTGTCAACATCATGTTAGTGGAACAAGCTGCCGATCCGACTCAACAAGCTGATGTTGCTGCTGTGATCATGCATGAAGGCTTAGCCTATGTTTTCCTTATAACAAGTACCACCACTTTGGTCAGAGCAAAAATTGAGACGATCATTGCCAAAAAACGTCCTGGACTCCCTGTTACACAGCATGAGAAAGGTCTTACTCGCTTTTTTGACCAGATTATGCAAGCCTTGGAAAGACATATTCGTTTTGACAGTGAGTTTCTTATTCCATATTCAAAGTATCTCGAAATCATTATTTTCATTCATTCTCTCGATTTTTAATTTTTTTCAGTTGTTAAGTGTGTTCTAGTTGCCAGCCCTGGATTTTTGCGAGAGCAGTTCTTTGAATACTTATTCCAAACCGCACAGAAACAAGAAAAACGTCTTTTTCTTGATAACAAAGGCAAGTTTATGCTGGTTCACGCCTCTTCTGGCCACAAGCATGCCTTGAAAGAAATTCTCACCAATCCGTTAGTCATGTCCAAAATGTCCAACACAAAGGCTGCTGCAGAAGTACAAGCTTTAGAAGATTTCTATCAGATGCTCAAAACAGATCCATCCCGTTCTTTTTATGGGTACACGTTTTATAATGTTTTTTTTCATAAGCGAATATTCCTCATCATTTCAGTTACTTTCATTCAATTTTTTGTAGTTAAATCTTATAATTAGTCACAACTTTTTTAACTTATTTAATACAGTGTCAAACACGTTGAGGCTGCCATGAATGCAATGGCGATTGAAACGTTACTTATTTCGGATGCTCTTTTTCGTTCGCGAAATATTGAAGAGCGACGTAGATATGTTGCCCTTGTAGATGCTGTGAAGGAGAGTCAAGGAACAGTGCGAATATTCTCTAGTTTGCATATTTCAGGAGAACGTAAGGGTTTATATTGTGTTCTTTTATTTCTATATAATTGCTTCTATCACCACGTCCTTATTTCATAAAAGCCAATTTTTCACATTATAAGCTAATCTTTCTATATTATACATTGTTTGGACTTTGGTATATTACATTTTGCCAGTGTTTTGTGCTAATGTCCTCTTAGCTAGCCACATTATACCGATTCTGTTGCTTATTCCTATTAAAGTCCCAAGTTTACAGATATACTAGCAATTAGTGCATACTTCCTTCTAGCCTCTATCTAGCTGGCATAGGCTAAATCTAAGTAGAAAGCAAATGATGCTTCTAAACGCAAAATTGCACGTCTATTATTTGCAGAACCACTGTGCACTGGTCCGTTTATACATGATTCTTTATTTGCAAAAGGCATTAAATAGTATATCGTAGATATGAATATCAGGATGGTGTCGTATTCTGTTTGTTCGCAGTCTGCTTTAGGTTTATAGTATTAGTTCGACTAATTTTCTGTTCAACCGTTGTAGCATCACTCCTCGCCCCTAATTTTTTTCAACTATATATTATCACACTATTTCTCTCAATCCCATTTCATATGGCCCATCCAATTATTCACACAATTGTGTGCTTTCGTTTCCTCCAATGTCACCTAGGTGTGTCGCTACAAGTTAGTTTAGTAAAGTGTACTTATCTCCACAGGTGCCAGATGTCGTTTGTAGGGCTCCTGACCTTCATTCTGCTTCCCCTTTTGGCTTATTCGAGGACGGAAATTAAAGGCGTTTTGCAACCAGATTTCAGACAGCCAAACAGTGATTATGATATTTAGAAGTGGGTAAGGGAAAAAAGGAGCATATTGTAGGTGGAGATTATTACGCTTCACTAAGCCCACTTGTAGCGACACACTCTTAGGCGACATAGGAACAAATGAGAGCACATAATTGTGTGAACAAGGTGATGGGCCATATGAAGTGAGGTTGAGAGAGAAAGAGATGCGGAACTAGCATGTAGAACAAATAAATAGGGGCGAGGAGTGATACAACAACGGTTGAACAGAAGATTGGTCAAGGGGATTGCCTTCACTTCTCACTTTGATAAGTTGTAACTCTGTGCTTACGATGGCTCGTCTCACTGACGATGCAGGCGAAACATTTAGAAATGTACCTAGCAAATCGTCCATTGCTGTAACTCACGAATTCTATGGTAGAGGACATGGGACTAGGTACATTCCAAATGGTCTCCCTGATGCCCCGACCAAGTTGCGAAGACAAAGTCGAACAAAAACCATTGCATATTGTATATTAAGATTCCACAGTGTCTGGTATAATTATTATTGCATCAGGTTATCCGAATGGAATTGTATTGCTCGCTAATAGCTTCTCTCTGAGCAAACAGTCGTATTAGGGCTGCATTTAGTTAAGTGGCCCATTTTTTGCTAGGTATCCTAATTTATATATGAAGAGACGCTCGGAATCTCTTCGTTTTACCGTGAGGCCCATCTACGGATCCCTTCCATTCACCTTCTCTAACGAAATGAAAGGTATACCAGTACTAATCCTAATTTATATTTGGCTTCGTCAAGTTAGCTTCCTAGCATACTTACTGACTAAACTAGTAAAATGATATATTTCTTATTTAACACCAACACAAAAGATGTGAAAAACGTGAATGTTGCAAGTATGAATAAATTTGCAAAAATATTCCGTGCAGTGTAGTCTAAAGCATTTGTCTGTGTTGATCGTATTTAAACGCTAAAGATATTCGCTTCCCTTTTTTCTTACGGAAATCGTAGAGGAAATAATACATACATACTTCACTCGATCATTTGAGACCAATATACATATGTATATATGAAATATTAATAAGATTTAAAAAATACCTTACGATTGGTGATTTGCCTACTACATAACACTTAAATCAGCAAATGCATCGAGTTTTACCTCCGCTCTTTTCCAGATAGTAAGTATTAAGTTGTCTCTAATCGTTTTAAGAGGCACTCTGAATTGGGCTTTTAGATATAGATTTTTTAAGTGCTAGATTCAATACCGTCTATGTATAGTGTTATGGTGTATATATATATGTGTTTAATTTTCAATAGAAAAGTTGGACAGCAAACATTCCGTCGTGTAACCCATCTTTAATATATTTTTGCAACATTTTTCAATAAAATCTGCATTTAGTTAAGAGTCAAAGTATTTCCTATACAGATATACAATATAAACTACCAATTAATATGTATGCTGAATGGGATTTTACCCTAAAATTAGAAAAATAACGGAATAGCACGACAGGTATTTATCATCCATTTCGAGGTTTCCCATCTTTTTACTGCAGCCTTCGTGTCTACCAGCTTGGAATAAATGAAGTTTCAAACAAAGTATTGGTATTTCCTAGGTTTAAAATAGATATAAGGGCAGAAAATCCTGTCGGAATTCATCATCGCTATGAGCAAATCAAGTCAAAAATATGCCGTGCTTATGTGTTTGCGAGCTTAAGGTAAGGGATTAAATCGGAGTATATGAACTTATTCATTATTTTTCCGTATGCGTAATTTGAATACGGTTAGTTCTTTCTATTGAATGCTTTGGATTTGCATCTACACTTTACCCTGTCTTCGTATTAAAGATTCAGTAGCTTGTTTATCTTAATAAACAATAAGATGTCATCGAGCTTTTAAGGATAATAAGAAGCCCAAGAAGGAATTTGATTTTGTTTAGTCGCTGTAAAGTTCTAGTTTGAGCTTGCTGGAGGAAATTTGATTTCGTAAGAAGGTGCATGAAGAATAGATTCGTAATTAGATCTCACCAAAAGAAGATGGATAAATCACGTTGTACTTCGGCCGTTTGGCCTATATAAGACATTCAGGCTGACGAAGTCCACAGATCTCCATCGTTTCGGATGAAACGAGCTGAGTCTTCGACCAACATATGATAGATATCATCAGAGCTTGAACTCATTATTGTAAAGGTCTCAAGTTAATACTAGAGCAAGACGTCTATCCGGCTCTACTATATCTCTTATATAGACTCAATTAAGCAAAAGAAACTTAAAAAGGCTGGTTAGATATATAATGTTCGTGTCTGTCTCTAAGTTTGGGGGGATGACGCCAATACGCAATAGGGGTCCTAAACCAGTGATCGAAAGCCTAGTGTCAGACTAGTCATCAAGGCTTAATGACAAAAGAAGAAGCCCTGATCGAGACTGTAGGTCTTCCTTTCAACAGTTGGGCCACTTCTGAAAATTGGACTCAGTTCTCTTTAGAAGCATTTTTGCATTCATGTAATCTTCGCAGGGCAGGCCGGAATGTCTCACCAGTATAATTCTATAGGATAGTATGGAACTTTTAATGGAAAAAGGATTGAATTTTGCTCTTTAAAATTAGGTAAACTATTCTATAGACATACTCGTTAAATTAATTAGCTTATCTGATAGATTACCCGAGTAGGTAAGGAATAGTATTGAACTGGAGGTGATCACTTATTTTGACCATATAATCCTGCCAAAAAAGCTTTTCCTCTTAGTAGGTTTTCTAGATAGTTATGTGGTAATTATATAATCGTTATGTAAGCCGACAAAGATGGAGCAGTGATAATAATGGATAGGTCAAGTTATATATAAAAATGCTAGCTCATTTAAACGATACTAACACGTATATGCCTTTAATGAGAGATCCAACGGAAATGGAGAAGTGGAAAGATAATTCAGCACTCGACAGAGATGCAAGGGCGCCTACGGCTACGGTCTCTCTAAGGTTCATAAAGAGGGTGTCCCTCTAAGCTTAAGTGGAAATAATAAAGGAAGCGTGATGCATTAAAACTTAAATTTTTTATCGAAGGC